CTTTACAATACTATATATATAAAAAAGTGCTAAACTTTGAGAAGAGGACATTGTGTCCTGATCTCGGAATTCAGGTATCATATGACCGAAAAATCTTGCGAAGCGCCTTCCGCTTAATTTTGTCTAGTATTCTATTTAACCTGAGATGCAACATATTTGATATCACCATCGCTTAAATTTGAAAATGATGTCGCTGAAACGTTTTTATTCGTTGGATTAGCACCATCCGTTGAATTTTATCATCACTAATACGAAAGAAAAGATCATAAATCTTCCTCACCCTGTCTGACAGCACTTTTTGTAATGAAACACAGATCACCTATTCATTTATAACGTCCCACCAGATTGAGCGGATGCAAGTTTTTCAGATATCCAGATGGATAGACCCAGACTGCCTTGCAATTTGAAACCACTTTTGCTAAGAAAAAATTTTATTCATCCCAACGCGTGTAAGCATTTTATTCCAACACACAATTCACACCCACACTACATACAAGTTAAAAATCAGAAGAAAAATAAAGCTTTATTTTTTTTATTATGATTAGTATTGCGAATTCGGTGAGATTAACAGATTCTTGCTGTTGTTCTTCATAAAATACATTTGTCAGTGAAATTGGTATAATTTCAGATTCAGACGAAGACGATTCTTCATTATATGGTTGAGGACTGGAATTTCTAATCTGTATATACGTCCGAAAAGTTAATTAAAGAATTAAAGAACATATTGTGAAAATTAAATATTAAGATTATATCCTAACCCTGTTTGGCGGAGTTGTATAATCATCCATTCTTCGTGGTTTTTTTGAAAATAGATCGCTTCCAATATCTTCATCTAAGTCTCGTTTTGGATCTGATTGATTAAGTGAATATTCTGTAATCATTTCAGATCCATGAAATCTACATGATGCTCTCACAAGGCCAACACCTTGCTTGTCCGCAATAATCTTAGTCTCTGACTGATTATAAACAAGTTTTATTAAACATGTTAAATAATTAAAGGTATAAAACCATTCTAAACCTACCTTTAAAATTGCAATATTTTGTTGTCGCGTGATCTATTGTAATGTTTAAAATTATAAACAAAAACGTTATTCTGCTAATAGTGCTGGGAATTAGTAAAGTAAACATACACCTACCTCCAATCGAGTAGAAATTACATTGTAAAAAAAATTTTGGATTTCCAAAAGATGACCCTTCGAAATTAATTAGATATTTTATGAATAGTAAGATAATAGACCAGTTCGCACAATAAGAACAACAAAAAGGAAAGTCAGAAAGTCGCGCATAAAGGGAGCAGTAAGTGTACTGATCCTCTTGACCAGGTAGTGACATGGTAAGATTTTTTAAAAACCCTTTAGCACTCGGCGAGTAAAAGTACTCACTCCACGTCAGGTAGTGACATGACAGGAGGTGCCTTTCTAACAAAATTAACAAATTGAAGCATATTCACCTTAACAGCCTTGTGGCCTTTTGCCTCTACTTCAAAAGTGAAACGTTTCCACCAAGTACCGTTGAGAGTATTAATGTCATTTGCAACAGGTGATGAATTTAAGATCGTATCGAAATTTGAGCAAAGGAAGTCAGAAAAAGACCAGTTAGATAGATCATTGTTATCGAGATAGGTAATGATATCTATAAGCACAAGTAAATTAGCCGAAAGGTGACAGTCAATCCTCTTGTATTATTTGAATTTATACTCACCCGTATAGCCAGAGTATGGCTGATTGGACATTTTTGCCGTAGTGAAGTGGTATGATGTTTTTCCCTTTGATTAAATCGCGTCGCGCTTATCAGTCACCGGACATGTCGCATGTCGATCATAGCAGCATAATGGACATTCAATTTTCTAGCGATATTATTGGTTGAAATTTGTGATAATCATTTTTGAAATATCACATAAATGATTAATTTTATTGGT